TTTTTTTACAAAATAAGGAAACTGAAGCATACAGGGTATATTTGCCCAAGAACACAAAGATGCTAGATAAGAGCAATTCTGTTCTGTCTCTGTTCCTTTGGGCCAATGCTCTCAATCCACCTGACTGTTATTTTCACTAATGGCATCAATGTTCCTATGAGGGTAAAATAATAGAGAAAGAATGAGATATGCAAAGCAATGTGGGCATGGGGAAAGGGAATAATTACAGATGTTGTGGTTATCCCAAAAGACAAGACAAAAACCAGTCTCTTCTTGGTTACCTGGCCCCTACGATCACTAGATAGTCAAGTAACCGAGGACAGAACTTCTTCTTTTGCACCATGATTCCAATTCATCAGTTCATCTCAGAGAAACTTCAAGGCACCGCACAAGGAGTCAATGTTCCCAGGAGGATTTCTGATATTATCTGAAAATTCAAGTCCAATAGGAAAAAAAGTACTGATAAGATCCACTGCTGGGTGTAAGGGACTCATCTCTCTCAGCTTCATTCCAGCCAGGGTCATAGGTCAGAAGACCTTCCATTTCAGTAGTAAAGATGGGGAAACATGACACTTTTCCTAGCCTAGAGCTTGGTCTAAGCTTTTGAACTCACAGGGCCAAATGTCAAGAAGTAGGAGAGGGATGCCTGGGTGGCTCGGTCAGTTAAGCATCCAACTCTGGATTTCTGCTTAGGTCATGTGGAGCCTGCTTGAAATTCTCTCTCCCTCTCTCTCTCTCTCTCCCTCTCTCTCTCCCCCCCCCTCTGCCCCTCCCCTGCTCATGCTTACACGCACGTGCGCTCTCTTTCAAAATAAATAAATTTTTAAAAAGTAGGATAAATAATGGCTCACTTCCCCATCCCTACAAACCAGCCCATTTCCAGCCTCACTCCTGGTGCTCTGTTTCTGAAAAATAGAGCCAGTTAGTCTAAACAGGACTGTCATTATGATAATAAAAACTAAGTCACTTCTAGGACAGCTCCAGGCTGAATCAGTATCAAACCAGACTCTAATCAGTACTAATCTATACTCCTAGCTCTATATGAAAACCTAATTATTTCCTGAACCAACACGCTGCATTCAGCTTCATGGGAAACTACCATATAAATTGTATACTTAATGCACTGAGACAACAACAACAGTGGGCTACTGTACCCTGTGCAATCTCACATGAGGAATATCCATGCTCCAACTGCTCCATCTAAACCATTTTTCTTCCTTCTTCAAGCAAGAAAGGGGCTCACTGGCTACCGCTACTAGCTCTGCCCTTGGTGCTGAATCATAGTCTTTTTTTTTTTTTTCTTCTTTTTTTTTTTCCTCTACTCTAGTCCCAAGATTGGAATCAGTGATACAAAACACACAGATGAGACTTTGTCCTTCTATCTCTAATAGAAATTAAGAATTAGATGCAGAAATAATAGGATTTCTGCAAGGACAGGAAGAGGTGCTCAGTAATTTCTAAACCAGAGACCAAAAATTAGGAAAAGCTTACGTGGCCTTAATTATAATCTCTATCCTGTTGGGTGTCCATACACTTCTCTAAATAAAATGGTTCACTCCACTACAAGCTATCCTCGGTGCATACAGAAATGTACCTCTGTGCTCCACACATGGCCACACTAGGACCTTCTTTACTGTACACACAGGCATTCCCATTACACTACACACACACCACTCTCTCTGCTGCTGTGTGCACTTCCATACATAGACATGCACACTCCCTGTATGCTTAAGATTCTATTTGATTTCGATAATGAGAAGCTCTATCTTTTTTCTTCCTACTTAATAATAAATAGACCGCTCTGCAATACCTCTCAAATCCTCAAAATTCTGCTCCCTCCCTTCTGTTGCTCCCAATAGAGGACCTGCAGGTAATAGGATTCGGGTTTGTCTCCATGGCGACTCTGGCTCCCAGAACTATTTATAGCACAGCCACAGCCCCTCCCCTGCTTGGTGACCGCACAGTGCTAGCAGCTGCTACTCCAGAGTCAGCCAGGGCCCATAACAATTCATTCTCTTTGAACCTAGAGACACTTCTTCCACTGACAGCACCTGCTAATTATTAGGTTATCTTCTTCCCTACCTATCTTTAGTTTGCACTTTGTCCTACTTCTGGATTTTGAGAGATTTCTTCTTTCTACACAACCAAAACCAAGTTTCTAAAACATGCCATATGCTCATTTCTAGGTATCATTAACACCCAAAAAGTCCTTTGGTTCTCTCCAGTGCCATGGAGTCATGAGCAAACCGCAGTAGGTGGGGCACTACTATAAAGTTGATTTCAACTCCTCCCAAGCAGAGTAAGAAGGGGAGGGAAATAGAGAAATGAAAAGGGGCATAGGTAAAAGCATAATTTGTTCTATAATTATGTGCAAAATACTTAGGATGAGAGCCAATGTATCTCAAAACAGAATTTACAGAGCCAGAGCTCAAGGCTAAGTCTTGAAATCTATTTTACACTGAAAATCAAGAGCCCTTTCCTGCCAAAATCTCAAATATCACACCTGAAGTATCTTCTACTGACATATTAGGGCATCAGGCCTCTAGCCTTGGTGAGATCCCAGCCCTCCCACTTGAGAAGCATGTGATAAAACTCAAATCATTATCATGCCCTACAACGTTCATGTCCCTCCAGAGCCACGAGGACCCCAAGATCTTGTGACTATTCTAGTACTAGTGATAGGATAGATGCTTAGCCACACTTCATGTCTCATCAATAGCCACTACCTCCCATTATTCAGATTGCAGAGATAACCAAGGCTTTTCTCTCCATTCTCCCTCCTCTCTGTAAAGCCTCTAACATCACCTATAACTCACATCCTGTCTTCATACCAACCCAGGCTCAGCCTCTGCCTCCTGCTTCAACCATGTTTACTAAGGGGGAGTCCCTGGTTTCCAGCTCCTATATTCCAAAGGCATCAAGCCCTAAACGCATACCTATCTGCTGAAGTCCTCCATCACCATCCACTCCAGATGCAGATTTGGAATCCACAGATCTTTACGTTCTCTATGTCTTTTCAGCCTACAAATGGTAACGTTAACCAACCCTTTGGATTCGTCCCTCGTTTGGGGCAGAATGTCATAGTAAAACCACAGGAACCGGAGAGCGATATGACATCTTTGCTGACGTGAGCACAACAGGAGGCTCTCTCCCCTCCTACCCAGGCAGTGACCTTGCAAGCGCATCAGCACAGACCGGTCAGCGTGGGGGAGAACGAGAGCAATAAGGCAGGCAATAGGCAGGGTTGGGAAAGGGGGGGGGGGG